GAAGAAGGGTCTAGGCTCGAAACGTCAGCCTTCCTGCTCCTCTGATGCTGCTTGGCGTGCTGTGTTCATCCAGCTCTACACCTTGTTATCTCAGATTCTCCAGCATCTGCAGTTCCTATTATCTCTCATGCTGAAGCATTATTTCAGTTGGTGTTGATTGTAAGGATGAAATTAGCACATGAATTAGAGAACGAGTCCATCTCTGAACCACTAGCTAGAGCACAGATACTGGCCAACTGGAAATAGTGAACTTGGTCCTCTGAAATCTTGGTCATTGGTTGGGTTTCCCTCATATTAACTAGCTTTTCAGTCCCGCATGGTCTGATTGATGCCTTACATGATGGTGATCCCAACATCTGACAGCACAGCAGAGAAAAATACGCTAAAGTTGGTTAGTCAGTTGTTGTTTAGCTCTATTAGTGACTGTAAATGAGTCAGAAGACTACATCATCCAGGGCACATTAACAATTGAATAATTTGTAAGGAATTTCTGAATTATGTTCTGAAAGTGCTCATGGCTGACTGTGTCAAAGGCCGTGGTCAGGAGAACAAAGATAGTATAGAGGTCCATGTTCTGTTCTTAGCTTTTCTCCTGAAGCTGCCTAACTGCAAACATAACATCAGTGGTTCCTCAACATTTTAAGAAGGTGCACCAACTCTCAGGCATCATACCCTGGTCAACATGTTACACTAACCGGTTTGGAAGGATTTGGCAAATATATTGCTAGTGGAGAGGAGCAAGATTCTGTTATGATTGTTCTAAAATTGAAGAGTTCCTTGCCACTTACAAAGGCTATTGAGACATCTTTGTATTCTTGCAAGTTAGTTTCATGCCCCTGCGAAGGCTGAAAATGCTCAGTGAACTTCTAGGACAGGGGCATCGACCTCCAGCCCTGTTAACCTCAGCTGTGTCAGCTGCAGAAGTTTTTCCAATGTACAGGAACAGTTGCATTTGTTTCCAACAGCATGGATGGATCAGCAAGACAGCAGTTGGTGACAACCTTTGCAGCTTTCTAGAATTTGGACTGTTTTGGTGAGAAATGTTTACCCATTGACAGCAAGGATTAGTGATGAACCAAATTTCAAGCCATCCTAAAATCTCAATCTTTGTAGCCTACTTATTACCAAAGTTTATCTGCTTTCTGAATCAGTTAAGTCTCTCATTTTTCCAAGCTTGCATCGGACAGTTCAGCAGATGATTTGGTAGGCATTATGAAGGGACAGTGATAACTTTTCAACACGGCAACTTTTTTCCCCTGCAGTAGTTTATGGATTACTCATTTACTTGATCATATTAACATTGATGCTTACAAAACATAAGGCCAAGGGACTCTACAGCAGTGAAATACACAATATCGCTGAAGGTCGCCCAGTCATCCTCAACGAACGGAGTGTCCATTTTTTAATGTACATAGTTGACACTCCAGTTTTCGTGAGCAAGATTGCTTCATAACTGCCTACTTGAACTTCAAGACATCGAGACGCTTCCAGACATTCACAGAACATATATCTTCATATTAGCTTTGAAAGAGGATGCTGGACAGAACAGCATTCACCTCAGAAACTTTCATTACATTCACTACTGCCTGTTGACGACATGGTCAATTAAATGCCAATGCACAGTACCGGAGTGCACCCAAGATATTTTGAAGTTTTAGAGGTGCTAAACTGTGTTGGTGACAATACGTTCAGCATACATCTTTAGTGAAAGACAATCACTATTGCTCCGACTGTCAACCATTTTGTCCGACTAATCTGTCCAGAAGTGGTGATATGCACCAACCCCTATGTTCAAAGGCACCAGGAATGATAAACTTGTCTGACTTTGGCACAGAGATTAATGGTCATTATTGACTTTACCCTCAACTTCATCAGCATTGGTCAAAATAGGGATGCGGACACCGAGTTGCCCATCTGCTACCATGGAGGCAAGTTTCAGCATTAGCCAATTAACACTCGAAGAAAGGCAAATCAACTTTCTAATGAGATGGGCTATGTCAACAAAGACTACTTTGGCTTCAGACAATTCTTCATTTCTACAGAAACCGCTAAAAGAATGAGCAATCTGCACTAATTTCCTCGAGCTGATCTGCTTTATGTAGAAGAGTTTCTTAGATGGTGGCTATCTGGACATTGCACCCTTCCAGCTCTCTACCAACAACAGCAGTGTTCAATCTTAGGTCTCCTGGTAATTGCATTATCCGAGAGAGTTTACTTGTTTCGTGCATTAGTGATGACTGATGGCACCTTTACTTCCGCCTGTAAGACCGACTTACAACTGTGTTAATGGAATCTCTGCCACTGTACCTGCTGGTCAGGGAGGTGAAGCAGACCTCCCCTCAGTCCCCAACTCAAAGCAGGGAGGCGAGTAATATGTCCTGCAAAGGGGTTTTTCCAATCAGTCAAGGGATGGCAGAGTTCCACTTTGGCTTTCTTCCAGTGAAGAAAGATTATGGCCTGAAGTGGCCTCAAGTTTTGCAGCCACAGCTCACAATGAATTGCCAAATGCTGTTTGCCTATTGCAACAGATGTATGAAACAGAGATTATTGATGACAATTGTGAGATAGATATAGAAAGCTTATGCAAGAATTGAATTACAGAGAGGAAGAGTTGCACATTGTCAGCCTCACTCGCTCATTCCTATCTATCCAGCACCAGTGGCAAGAGGAGTCTAACCAGCTGGAGATAGATCCAGATGAAGTGACACCCCAGGCACTTTTGGGTCTTGTTGATATCCAAGAGTTTCACAACACGGTGACGAAACAACATGGTCCTTTGAACCACCGAACCTTTGTTTGGTCTCATCTGCCAAGTCTCCCTGAATGAATCTTTGCATGCCAAGGCAGACAAAACTGAGTAAGTGTAGGAGACCTGACAGCTCTTTATTCATTCATGGGATGAGGGCATCGCTGGCCAAGCAGCATTTATTGCTGATCCCTAATTGCCCAGAGGACAGTTAAGAGTCAACCACATTGCTGTGGGTCTGGAGTTACATGTAGGCCAGACCAGGTAGGGATGGCAGTTTCCTTCCGTAAAAGGACATTAGTGAACCAGGTGGGATTTTCCTCTGACAACCGGCAACAGATTCACGGTCACCATTAGATTCTTAATTCCAGATATTTACTGAACTCAAATTCCACCATCTGCTGCAGCAGGATTTGAACCCAGGTCCCCAGAACATTATCTGGGTCTCTGGATTAACAGTTCAGCAATAATACCACTAGGCCATCGCCTCCCCGCTACTCATATCTGCTTTGGCCCACCCAAAACAGTTCACCAGGTAAATCTGCTATCACATGTGAACAACTGCTTGGAACCATAGGTGAAGGTGAAGTCTATCAGAGAGGCTAAATGGCTCCAAATAGTGTGGCAAGCCTGCAAGAGGTATTAACCTACTCCCTTACACCAAAGGCAAAGGACACAAAGAAAACATACTTGGTTTCAGCATGGTACATCTTACAGATTTTGATCAGGTAATGCATTGCTACTATATACCTGTCTAGCCTTTATGTATGGAATATACTTTATATGCAAACCAGGATTCAACCAGGTTTATTAACAAACATCAAAAACATGGAATTGCTGAAAAAGACATTTTGATGAAGCATTGTGTTACATTCAAGACATTTACAGGAATACCAATGTAAAGGGGAACAACATCTTATGCTGCAAGTGAAGACAGTGCTGATTGACTGCAAGAGGCCTTTGATTGGTAGAGACATGGCTATGAGAATGCACTTAGATGATGGCTGACAGGTAGCTGCAACGTTGTTTCGAAATTTTAAAAAAAAGCAAGTGAATTAGTCACACTTATTAATCCTGTAAGTACAAAACCTCCATCATTTTAAACTTACAAAAATAGTATATAATGATGTTCATCACAAAAGAAAGGGCCAAATTACATGTGCTAATTCAATGGCAATTCATCCATAAAGAAGAAACCTGGCAACACAAACTGAAGGCTGGCTAAGTTTTCCATTATCCACCCTTCAACTATATTACTTACGTTACAAGTAAAACAATTTCCCCGCAAACAGATCAGGCAATCTATTGCTATGGAAATATAGTTTGCACATGTATGAAATCCAGGAAACATACATTTATGTACAAATGGTGCAACTCTCAAAGCAACATACACTTAGGTTTTCAAACAGAAGAAAACATTGCACTTGAGAATGACACATTTCTAAAGGAAGACTGTCAAATGAAGGCAAAACCAAAGTTCACTTCGACATGGAGCCACATCTTACATAAATAAATATTTGGTTATGGCTTAAGATCATGGCTTCGGTACGGATTATGCTGAGCACCTGAAATTAGTGCAATAAGATCAATATATGAAAGTGTCACACATGCTCCAAAGTAACAAACTGTCCTGAAATTCAATCTGAGAAAACAGTTAAAAAGGTACAACATGAACAAATTAACATGCATTGAATTAATTTCACGTGCAAGAGTTAGTCTGTAAAGAGGAAAATGTTGAAACTTACTCACTAAATGCAGGTGATCTTAAAGGAAACTGGTTAAAAGGTTTGTTCTACTGATTTTTTTCAGACACCTGTGAAACAGAAAATTGCAAAAACTAGTCAATACTAATATTGGCCTTGATCATAAAAACAATGTTCGGATTGTCACCTTAAACACACCTCCTTAAGTGAATAAGTAACCACACATTAGTTTTCAACAATCCAGTTCAAGGTCTTCTATGAACTGAAATCCTTAATGCATTTAAAATAATTTAACCCAGCGCTAACAGTTAACTCAAGAGTTCATTACTTAATAAATATTATAGCATCTGAAAAATTAAGAATGTTACCTATTAGACAACCTCCAGCTAAAGCAACAGTGATAAATCTACTTTCAAATTAACCTCTCTCGGACACAATCCTTTGGGATCAAAGATGATTTTCTTGCACTTTGGGTTCTTGGGTCCTGAGATCACTAAGAATTTCAATACAAGATTGGCAGAACCTTTCACAGGTTGGGCCATGTGGTGTTGGCTAAAGCAATTAGTGGGACGCTCAGGTTTTTGCATGCTTATTCCACTTTTTGACCTCCATTTGGGTCTATCAAACATGCTGAAAATGACTGAAATCTTCATGCATATTTGCTCTCTAGTTTGAGGGTCTTGAACTAGGAATTCCCATAGGTCGGAGGGGACATTGCATTTTTTCCCAGGGAGGCTTTGACATTTGGATAAATTCATGAATAGGAAAGGTTTGGAGGGATATTGGTCAAGCACAGGCAGGTGGGCCTAGTTTAATTTGGAAACGTGATCGGCTTGGACTAAAGGATCTGTTTCCATGCTGTATGGCTATGACTATGTCCTTGAAAAGTCACCTCCTCTTTCCTAGTGGCTACTTACTATAACAAAGCTTGAACTCGAGCGCCTAATTTAGACGTCTTGTGCCAAAACCCAAAGCAGATGATTGACCATTACTAGGGCCTCGTTACTGGAGATGTGGACCTGATAGAAGTGCAGAGAAAGGTGGAGTCAGTCAGTTACAGCACCCGGTAATGGGGGAAATTGGTGTGGGGAGGCAGAGCTGAGGGCTTAGACCTAGAAGCTACAAGGTAAAAATGCACAGGGAACACAAATGCAGTCTGCACAGGAGGTTAGCAACCCTGTCTCAACAGCCGTCTGAAATAAAGAATTTCAGAGATTCACCACCCTTCGAAAAACATTCATCCTTGTCTCTGCCTTAACTTTGGTGAACTCTTGCTTTGAAATTATGCCCTTTGGTCCTAGACCCACCCACAAGGAGAGAGAATCTCTAAATAAGAGCTGTTAAGAGCCTCAAGAATCTTAAAATAAAACAAGTAACTACAGATGCTGGAAATCAAACAAAAACAGGAATTGTTGGAGAAACTCTAGGTCTGGTAGCATTTGTGGAAAGACAATTAACGTTTTGAGTCCAGTGACTATTCATCAGAACAGAGCTCTGAAGACTCACTGGATTTGAAACATGAACAGTTTTGTTTTTTCCTCCCCAACAAATGTTGCCAGACCTGCTGAGTTTCTCTAGCAATTTCTGCTTTTGCCCCTAAGAATTGTGCATGTTTCAAGAAAGTCACCTCTCATTCTTCTAAACTCTCATGAGTACAAGTCCAACCTACTCAACCTCTCCTCAAAAAGAAAAATCTCTCATTCCTAGGATCAACTTGGTGACCATTTTCTGGACAGCCAACAATGGCAGTATATCGTTCCCCAGGTAACAGGATGAAAACTATTCACATTGGTCTAGATTGTGCCCCATAAAGTTTTAGCAAGATTGAATATTTTTTAAAAAATGGAAATGCCCATTAAAATAAAGGTAAATGAATTTTGGCCTTATTGCCTGCTGCACTTGCATGCTAGATTTTCTAGGAGGACTGCCAAATCGGTCTGTGCTGCAACTTTCTGTAGTTGTTCTCCATTTACATAATCATCTATAAGAAACTGGAACAGGAGTAGTTGTTTGGCCCCGCAAGCCTGCTCTACCATTTAAAAGGATCATGGTCAATCCGTATGACATTCTTCACATTTATTTTCCTGCCCTTTCCCCATAACCCTGGTTTTCCTACCAAGAATCTATCTCAGCCTTAATTATACACAAAGGACTCTGCCACAGAAAGCTGTAGGGGCAAGGAGTTCCAAAAGACTCTAAACCCGCAGAAGAAATTCTTCATCTCACTCATAAATTGGCACCCCTTTATTTTGAGACTATGCCCTCTGGTCCTAGACTCTTCCATGGGGGAAAACATCCTCTCAGCATTTACCTTGTCAGGCCCCTCAAGAATACTATAGCTTTCAATGAGATCACCTCTCATTTAGCCCGAGTAGATTATCCCTCCGCAGACTCTTAGTGTTATCCTTAGCAGTCACCTTCCATTTTTTGTTGTGTCATTCACAACCTTGATCGTACATTTACTTACTCATCCAAATTATCAATACATTTTGTAAATAAGTTTAGAACCCAAAAAGATACAGTTTACATTGACTGGCTCTTTATCCATCTTGTTTGTTACCGTTTCGAAGAATTCTAATAACTTTGTCAGACATAATTTCCCCTTCTTGAAGCCATGCAGACTCTGCTCAAGTGTGACATGTATTTGTAAATGTTCTGCTATTAGATCCTTTATTATACACTCTAACATTTTCCCCAATTACAGATATTAAGCTCACAGGCCTCAAGCAGTTTTTGTCTCCTTCCCGTTTTGAATAAAGATATTATATTAGTACTTTTCCAGAAGATAAGGATTCATGGAAAATCCCTAACAGTGTACCCAAGGCTCTACTTATCAAATAACAAAAAATACTGCTCACCACGAGCACGAACCCAGCACTTTTGTTTGAGGAGGAGGGTGGGCACACAAAAGCAAAAGTGCGGGGGTGCAAGTGAGAAAGTCCTGCAGAGTGTATTCCTTGTTTTTATTAGCCAGTAACTGCCAGACCTGCTGAGCTTTTCCAGCAACTTCTGTTTTTGTTCAACAATTACTTCTCTTCAGTTATGGCTCCTTCCTGCAATATCAGGCCCATTCTTACCATCCCATCCTTATTACAGTCCGCCCAATATACTGTAAACTATCATTTTGTGGAAGTGATCTGAAAACTATGCAAAAATCTTTAATAGTGGTTCAATAACTAGAAAGGTAATGAGATAATGAAAGATAATATATCTGATGTACAGTAAATGGTATGCTGTCATAATTTGCATATATACAGAAAAATACATTTTCAATCTAGTAGGTTTAAGGTAATTCAAACATTCATTCACAGCTCAATAAAAATTTTTCTTCACAGATGCCACCAGACCTGCATCCACAGTTTTTTCAGTTTTTAAAAGTTTTGTTACTGGACGATTGGTTCAGAGGCCTGAACTAATGACCAAGAGAAAAGAGTTCAAAGTCGCCGTGGTAGTGACATAGGACATAAGAGGAGGAGTAGGTCATTCAGCCCCATCTGTACGCTACTTCAGTTGATAAAATTGTAGTTGTGTCTCAACCTCTGCCTCCCATTACCCTCAATTAAATGTTTGTCAAAGATCTATCCAATGCAGCTTCAAAAGAAATTTAACAACCCAGTATCCACTGTTTTCTGGGGAAAAGAAATACAGGGTCTAACAGCTTGCAAACGAGCATATTTAAGTTCAGCTCATTATTTAACTAAGCTGTTTTCAGTGATCCTGATCATGTAACTACCAAATTAATATAAAACAACATCTGTCCCAATGCAAGTTCAAGATGGTGGCCTCGAGCCATCTGGGCAAGCATGATTTCACACGTTTGCCAAACAACTTGTTTTGCTGTAGTAAATTTCCCTACCAAAGAATACTAGAATTCTGTAACATTTGTTTAAGATGCCTGTAACTTAAGAGGTAGGATGCAGCCACAAGAACAATAGTGCATTGGTGAAGCAAGTTGAATGGTTATAAATTAAGCTGGGACAAGTAGCAGCAGATTCTAACTTGCATACCTTTGTATTTGTGTAAAGGTGTGTTTATGACCAATGCTACCACCAGGTGGAAATCAACCTCACATGCAACTCAACATGTTTATTTTTAAATGACACATCTGAGGTGCCTTGGGATGTTTTCAGTGTTAGAGGTGGTTTAAAGTTTTGCTGTTTGTGCAAGGAAATCACAGATTCCAATGTCCACATAAAACGGTTGAATCATCCAAGCTTTCAAAAAAAAAACTTGAGTAGAAAATAGGAGCGGCTGTGATGTCACGGATGCATCTGCTCATGCACAGATTAATCATGGTACCATAATTACATTGGGAACATACACATCTGTCCATTCATACCTACTTCTATCTTCTATCCGCCTCCCCCTCTCTCCCTATTTATTTCAGAATCCCCTTCCCCTCCCCCATTTCTGAAGAAGGGTCTAGACCCGAAACGTCAGCTTTCCTGCACCTCTGCTGCTTGGCCTGCTGAGCTTTTGTAACTTTTAAGGGCTTTGCTACTCTAGACATGAGCATTAAACAGCATTTGTTTCTTGCCTAAGAAATTAAAAATAAGCAGTAACCTTAAATGTTTATTTATACCACGGAATCTAAATCAGCATTTAATCTGGAGGGAAGCTCGACTTGACTTCAGAACAAAGCTGCTTTTGATTGGTGATTATGGTGAATGCAGTAGTTGATGAACTCAACAACTCCACGTTGTGAAGTGTGTTGCTGGCAAGTGTACGTCAATCTCAAAACTCAAAACCCACAACCCACCTGGATATTGCGTTCAGCTAATTCTCACCTCTAGCACATCCCTGATTTTAACTGCTTCACCAGCATGTCTGGGCCATCAATTATCTAGGCTGTAAGCTCTGGAACTGCTTCCCTACGACTGCTTCTGGAGTGTTAAATGTCCCATGACGCTCGTCAAACTGACCGAGGGCAGCTTCTTGGTGTCCTGGCCAATGTATATTGATTAACCAACATTAAAACAAATTTAGTAGCCATCTCATTGATCTTTGTAAGACGTTGCAGTCCACAAATCAGTTCTTGTATTTGTCTGCATTACAATAGTGACCAGAACTGAAAAGTACTCCATGTAAGATATCCCAAAGGACACTGTGG